CGTACTATTACATATACAACTTCTTGTCTTTTCCTTCATCTTTAACATTTTGATTGATTTTGTAAATTTTTAGAGTTTGGATGAAGATGAAAAACTATTGAGCATAGGTTGCAAATTATGATCTGAATTCACCAATAATCTTTACAATAGCAATTTCCATCTACAAACCGATGAAATTTGTAATTATCCCTGATAACAATTTCTCTGTTGTAGGCCTGAGATATTAGTTTCATGGCTGAATGACAATCTCTACAAATCTGCAGATTATTAACTACACGGATAGGAGTTCTTGGGGGGTTGTTTAAAAGACCAAAAGCGACAGCCAATCTTTCACTATGATGAGATGATGTTTCTACTAGGTCCTGTTTTTGCAATCTACCCTTTATCTCATCCAACATAGCATAAATTTCAGCAGATTGAGGGTTTGAGAAATTCCAAGCTGTAAATTCATGCACAGCTCCATTTTATTCTATTATACTACATCCTGGTTGCTTCCTCACTCCTAGTTCATGCAACTTCTTTCTTGCCCAGCTCACATCATCCCACCTACCCACTTTTGCATATATATTTGAAATAAGAGCATAAGCAGCATCATTTAGAGGGTCTATCTTTATGAGCTGTTGAAATACTTTTTCTGCTAATTCTAGATTCTGATGGCTTCCACATTCTCTCAACAAGGAACTCCATATAGAGATATCTGGTTTGATAGGCATGCTTTCAATAAACCTCACTGCCTGGTCTAAGTGTCCGGCTCGACCTAGGAGATCAACCATACACCCATAGTGTTGGATCTTAGGAACAATACTGTAGACACTACCATATAGAGATATCTGGTTTTTATTTCCTATGTTTATTATAATATTTTGGGATTCTTTAAATTTTTTTAAAGTATTTTTAAAAGCGCTTTTACTGTGTCAACCAAACACTCAACAAAATATCAAAAGCGTTTTTATGTAGTGTAAAAACGTTTTTAAATGTGACATCCAAACGATAAACTGCTTTTTTGTAAAAGCGCTTATGTCATAAGCGCTACTAGCATAAGCGCTACTGGCATAAACGCTTCAGGAAGAAGCACTCCCAAACGAGCCCTAAGTCTGTTTCATGTGGGCTAAGCGCTCAGGCCCGATATCCAAGACGGACCCCAACTTGGGCTAGACTTGCATCCTATTGTATGCTCATAAGCATTTCCGGTTACGGAAACCCTAAAATTAATTGAGTACACCTTATAATTTAAGTACACTCTAATATTTAAATCAAAATGTGAAGTACACTAAGTACACCCTATTTAACTACCCAAAATAACTTCTACACTCTATCACACAACACCAAATCGTTTTTTTTTCTTCTTATTTTGGTCAAAAACACCAAATTCATTTGAGAATTGAGTTTATAACAATTTTGATAGATAGGGAGTCTACAGGCTGTAGTATTTAGGAGGACTTCAAGTTCATGATCATGCATGAAACAGAAGAGAAATGAATTTAGATGTATAATTCCTGGTAATGGGCATGATGTGATGTGCTTGATATCATACATAGATAGGTATTGCAAACTTGCCGGCATTAATGCGGTTTGGAGAACATACATATCAGTGGTCTTTGTAGAATAATTGATTTTCTTTATGGGGCATTTTATTTTGTTGTCTTTGAGGAATGATAAACGAGATCCTTACATTCGGTATTATTTCCCCAATAAATTACCTATTTATTTTCTGGTTCAAATAGAATTTAAAATGGAACAATTTTTACCTTGGTAGTCCTACGTTTTGGAGGCTCTAGGCGAACATCCTAAATGGGGCCTTCTATTCTATATGTATATTTATTTTTATTTTTTTATTAAGTTAAAAAAATATTATATGAACTCAAATTCACAATTGTAACATAAAAGAAACAATCAATTTACACAACAACTTTATATAGTGCATCAAAACATCACTTAAATATCTCTCACCTTACATAAGTGCCCAGGGCCTCCCCTACTTGGTATGCCAATGAATTGTTGGGCTCACACTGCAGAAACATCTTATGATTCGTCCATTGCTGGTTGCCTTGATGCATTATACTGTATTTGTCCTGATTTAGTTGATCGAACTGATTCCATCCCTAACTGTCACTATGAAATGGTCCTTTCCAAGCAACTCACTCTTAACTGTGCACTTGTTATGCATCTGCAATGTATTTCCACAACATATATTACATTCCAGTTAGTACGCAGTTGATGCTAGAAGTAAAAAATGTTAATGTCGTTGATCATGATTCATAAAATTAATTAAAGTAATCTTACTTGGGCAACAATGGTGGAGGAGTCCCCAGCATATATAAACGCATGATTTTTCGGACCAACTTCCTTTGACTTTGAAGTCGACTACACATAAAGATATGAATAAATTAACTAACTACAACAGAAGTAGTATAAACTCTCCGAGATAAATGTTCTCTTACTTGAGTGTATACGAATTTGGGCTATTGACTAAGCAGTCTTACTCTATAAACTTAACGTTCACAAACAAGGCTTAAAGTGCAAAAGCTACACAAATAGATACATGTGGTTTTCTTAATAATAATAAAAAAGTATTAAATGTGTTATGTTAATTAACAAAGTGTTACCTTCTGTCCTAGAGTGACAATGGGATAACCAGCCGTGTCGAGTAAATGATCTCCTTTGACTTTCAAAATGATGTTGCCATTGACATCAGAAACTACATATATATAAAGCTAATGGTGGTAAGCTAGCTTCCGGTTGTGTCATGGTAAGAGAGATGTTGGATACCGATATGATTTTGGCGAATGGTGAGAGTGCTTGTGCTTTTATGGGAAATCACTTTTAACTCTTTTGGGGCCAAAACAGGTTTCGTATACTATTGATCGAAATCAGAGCAAGTCCACCCAATACGTAGACTTTTAAGCAGCATTCTAAAATCTAAAGTCCACCCTGTTAGCGAGATCCTAACACCACGTGCCCACCATATTCTTAGCTTTTGGATTGTGTGACTCCAATTTTCGAGTTCAATTTTCATGTTACCAAATCTCATGCGCCCCTATTTTCTCTTTGGTATTGTGACATGTGGCATATCATTTAACAACATTTTAACACTGTTAACTCTTCAGTTCATTTATTTTTATTTTAAAAAAGTTAATTAAAATACACGTTTGACGCAAAAACACCTTCTCTCTCCTCTTCATCTTCTACCCTGCGTATCATCAAACTCAACCCTTGCATCATCTTCGCCCTGCAAAACTCAGCCCTTGCATTTGGTTCGATACTTTTTTTTGCTCGTTGGATGCTGGTTCGTCAGGTGAGCCAGGTTCTGCTTCATAATTTTTCTCCCCCTTTTTGACTTCTGATTTTGGAGCTATCATATGAGAAACACTTAAACAAATAATCTCAGGCTCTTGAGTCTTTCTCTCTCACTCGTCTCAATTCACAATCACCATTGGAAGGAAAAGTGCTTCATAACTTTCCCCCTTTTTGGCTGCTGCTGGTTTTGGAGTCATCCTATTAGAGCTTTCAATTTGTTTATACTACAATAGTTGAAAACAAAAAGGAAACAAAGATTGAAACCAAATGAATTGCTTAACGGGTATGTGAGTTATTTGTTCAAAAACTTCTCATACAATGGCTCCAAAATCAGCAGCCAAAAAGGAGAAAAAAAATTATGAAGGGGTTGAGTATGATAATAGGTAGTGTAGAAGATGAAGATGCAATATCGCGTTTGTGTCAAACGCGTATTTTAATAGTTTTTAATTATTTTAATAAAAACAAATGGGCTAAAGAGAGTTAACAGAGTTAAAATGTTGTTAAGTGGTGTGCCACATGTCACAATACCAAACAGGAAATAGGGGGGCACAGGGGATTTTGTAACAGGAAAATTGGACTCCCAATTTTCCTCTTACCAAATACCATGTGCCCGCACTATTTTCCTCCTAGCTTTTTGACACGCGGCAAACATCTTAGGGCATTTCCAGCAGTCAAACCCTTGCCATGGCAAGGGGGGGTTAGGGCTGACACTATTCACCTCAATAGTATCTGCCCTTGCAAATAGTAAGTTGCACTTCCAGCAGTTGCCCGGGCAAAGGGCAAGTACTATTCAATTTTTTGTTTTTTTCACAAATTTGTTTACATAAACAATTAATTTGGACAATATTTTCGGATAAAATATTCGGAGAAGATTTTCAGTTTCAAATTTCAGATAAATTAAACTTGAAAGTGAAAAAAATATGGAGTAGAAAGTGAATAATAGTTGGAGGAGGAGAAAATGTATGAGGATTTATTGTTAAAAATGAAGAGGATTGATTGGTATTTATAGAAAAAAAATTCATTAATTTTTGGGAATTTTTTTCATAATTTTTGGCCTTGAAAATTTCCTGGGCGTTGGATTGGATGACAAAAGCAATCGGAAGGACTAGAAGCTGCCACGTGGCGTATGACCGTTGGGCATTAACAAATTTGAATTGCGCCTGCTGACGTCACGCTGGCGTCAGCAGCGCCTTCGGGCCAGCCCAGGCTGGTGGACCCCACCTCTTACCCGGGCCAGCCTTTGTTGCTGGAAATGAGTTTTGGCCTTTCCCCCCCCCCCCCCAACCCAAGCCCTAGGGGGCTGCTGGAAATGGCCTTAGTAAAAGGGTGGAGTTGATGAGAGAGAGGACTTCGGAGGATGGGGGTTGGCTGGGTTGGATGTGTGGGGGGCTTGGTGAAAGACGCCTACAAGTTAACCTCAAGCGGGAATTAATCCCACCCTTCGAGTGTGGGGACACCTCATGGTATTTACTAGAAAAAGACGCCTACAAGTTTTCATGATACAATTTAGAAAAAAGTTTAATGGGCCGGCTCATTTGCCGTAGAACCCTAACCCAAACGTAAACTAGGCCGTTGGCCTTTCCATCCAACAAAACAATGAAGAACGACATGTCGTTACATGATGTACGACATAAACGAGAGATTTACTTTTTTTCTGTTGGGCAGAACGAGAGATTTTTTTTTTTTTTTGGGGCAGAACGAAATATTTGTTTGACATGGCTTTTGTTGTCGTTACTCCTTCTCCCACCATTTTCATTCGCTTCCAAGCTGAAGGAGTTAAGAAATTGCAGAAATGGAAAGAGCCCCGTGAGACCTTGATTTGAAACAAGTAGATGATCCACAATAATCTGAATTTCGAATTTTTCAAAAATGGTGAGAGCCTCTGCTCTAAAACCCAGCAGCAAATTTTTCCTGAGAAAACACAGGAAGTGGCCAGTCTCACCCCACAACACCAAATGGCACCAAACCTTCAATCAAAACCAGGCCTTTCAAAGCCTCAAAAAAACATCACCGCCTCAAAACCAACCCCAACATCTTCTCTCCACACTCATTTACTCCTTCAACAGCTATAACTGTGAACCAAACCCTGAAGCTTACAACTTTGTCTTCAAAACCCTGACCAAAACCTCCCAATTCAACGACATCGCTTCAGTTCTTGACCGCCTTGAATTCGTCGAGAAATTCAACACACCCGAATATATTTTCGCCCATCTCCTTAGTTTCTATGGCCAAGCTAAGAGAACCCAGGACGCCATTGATCTTTTTTACAGGATTCCAAAGTTCAGGTGCGTCCCTTCTGCTCACTCGCTCAACTCCTTGCTGTATGTGCTTTGTGGGTCTAGGGAAGGTCTTAAAATGGTGCCTGAGATTTTGCTGAAGAGCCATATTATGAGCATCCGGCTCGAAGAATCGAGTTTTCAGATTTTAGTCAATTCTCTGTGTGGAATTGGGAAGGTTGGATTTGCTATTGAGATAATGAATTGTATGATCAGTTATGGGTATGGTTTGAATGTAAAGATGTGCTCTTTGATATTGTCATCACTCTGTGAACAAAAAGATTCATCAGGTTTTGAGGTGCTGGGTTTTGTAGAAGAAATGAAGAAAATTGGGTTTTGTCCTGGTATGATGGACTATTCAAATGTGATTAGGTATATGGTGAAACAGGGAAGGGGTTTGGATGCTTTGAAAGTTTTGGTTAAGATGAAAGTGGAGGGAATTAAGCCTGACATTGTTTGCTATACCATGGTCTTACATGGTGTCATTGCAGAAGGGGATTACGAGAATGCCGATGAGCTGTTTGATGAATTGCTTCTATTGGGTTTGGTTCCTGATGTTTATACTTACAATGTGTATGTAAATGGATTGTGTAAGCAAAATAAGGTGAAAGATGGATTAAAGATGATTTCTTCCATGGAAGAGTTGGGGTGCAAGCCTAATTTGATTACTTATAACATTTTATTGAAGGGTTTATGCAATAATGGTGAGCTTGGTAGGGCCAGAGAGCTTGTGAGTGAGATGACATTAAAGGGTATTGGGGTTAACTTGCAGACACATAGGATTATGCTGGATGGTCTGTTTGGCCAAGGAGATATTGATGAAGCTTGCATCTTTATGGAGGAAATGTTAGACAAGTTTCTCTGTCGTTTTTGTTCCAGCTTTGATGAGGTAATTTATGGGTTGTGCCGAAAGGGTTTGGTTTGTAAAGCAATGGACTTGCTGAAGAAAATGGTTCACAAGAATGTTGCGCCTGGAGCAAGGGCTTGGGAAGCACTACTTCTTAGCTCAGGATCTGAACCTGGTTTTGCAGAGACTACTTGGACTGATTTGGTGAACCCAATTAAGCTGCTGAAGCATTGACTTGCATATAGCATTTGTTACATTGTGATGTACAGAATCAACAGCTACAGTTGATTGACTTTACCTACCACAATGCAAAGCTGAAGCATAAATTGCTGCATCCATGTGCATTAGATTCGTTTTCGTCTAGTCTTTTGTTGAAGAGAGGCAATTTATTCTGACTCAGCATACTTGTACTTGTGCCGGCCATTTGTCCATTTGTTCGTCCTATTATGTTTGGCAGAAAATTGTATGTACCAACCTAGAATCTTTTGCTATGCTGATGCTCGTGATCCCTTCTTGTTGGCATTTTCTTTACCAGAACCACTGCTTCGAATTCGATAGCTTCACATGAACATATTAGTTGATGAAAATTTCACCAAAAAACAACAATTTCATTGTCTGTTGCGTTCGATACAGTTGAAATGAGCATGTGGTCTTAAGCTCTTCAGAATTAGCTATCCAGTAAATTGTGTTCCAATTTGTATTTTTTGATCCAGAGCTTGAACTGCTGGACAGCATGCTCTGTGTTGCACGTTTCTAAGACAGACCAACTATAAAAAAAACATATACTAAGAACACACAGTTATATGAGTACTGATTTATCATAAAGTGGTACTTCTTGTTCTTAAAGCCCAAGTGATTTTTAGTAGGTGATTATTATGTGGCCTGTAATAAGTTACAGATAATGAGTTCCCCGCCATTGTTGCAATTGCTTGTATGGAAGCAAACCTCCTATTTGCTTTCAATTTTTCAATGTGAGGTTTGAAGTCAAGATATTTACAACTGTTGAGATAAAAGAAATAAAGTGCTCTATTGATTTGCTCACTTCTCTCTATTCTAATCTTGTGTGGTCAAAACAGCACTATTTACCGAAAAAGTTAAAACCAACAAATAAAATATAAAAAAACGAATTTGCTGGCTTTACAGTTTTCCTGTGAAATCATTGAGGCATCCAAAGATCGCTGTTTGTATCCTTTTCAAAACATTAAAGTTTTGTCGGTGTGAAAAGGGCTGCTTCTTTGCAAGGGATAGCAAACTTTTCTACATTCACACTCTCATAAACTAATAAATCTGAAGTTAATCAGCTATTAAGCTCGATGAAAAGCTCATTAAGAAAGAGTTACCAATAATCCATGACATAAAAAAATTACAAAAGTATCTTCCATAAATTAAGTTGCTTTTACAAGTTAAAAGTTTACGAGTACATCTGCTCTGTCTGAACAGTAGGCTCTTGATTATGGTGGAAGATTAAAGAGAAGTTAATTACGCAATTGGATAATTAATCGGATAAGAAACAGATTAAGGAGCTGTGGATGTACATGAGTTGCTTATCGTTGTCCTTCAGACGTGGATGAGAAAGAAGTGTCAGCAAGGAGGGAAAAGAGACAGACTTTTTCATGTTTCCTTGGTGGTGGTACCAAGTTGCCAATTCAATGTAAATGACCTTAGCATTCACCCATAACTGTTCTCACAAAACCATGCAGCATCTGCAGAAGCATCTCTTTGTTTTCTGACAACAAGAACAATAGGTTCCCAGATTTTTATTTCTAATTTTTAAGAAAAGAAGAAAAATATTACAGAAAACAAGAGGAAAAGATAAAGTGAGATTAGTGAGAACTGAGAAGGGTTAATAGTATTAGTAATCGCAATATTGGTGAACTATCATTGTTATATTAAATGATGTTCATAGCAATTATAGTGAGACCTTGGAAGGGTTGCTTTCTTTTCAAAAGCATTATGTATTTCCACAATAGGAAAGCTATGTTCCACATACTGGGGGGACAGATGAAAACTTAAAAAGCAGTTTCCCCTTTTGTCTATACAACTTTGAACGACTTTTAGAAAAAGGAGATTAAACAAAGAAGATCATGCTTATAGAAAGAAGAGTACACAATACAATGAGATTAATTACTGCATCATGGTTGAAATTTAAGATTCTTTAGTGTTAGAACATAAATATATAACAAGTTGCTAATCCTTCAAAAAAGAAAGAAAGTTGCTGATCTTATGATCATAAGATAATGGTTATCTGCCAAGAATTTTGTTGAAAAACTGTTGTGGCTCTATTTCAAAAGCTATGAATTCTGCAAAAACACATTGACTTTGCTTGATCTTTCTCCTTAACAATTAATCATCTTAGGGTCCGTTTGATAACCATTTCAATTTTAGTTTTTAGGGAGAATGGAAGTGAGAATGAGAGCAAAGATGAAATTGAGAGGGAAGATGAGAGGGGAGGATAGGAGAAATGAGTAACAAAAGTGAAAACAAAAACTAAAAACTGAAATCTATTTGAAATTGTTTTCACTTGCAAAAACTCTTCCCTCCCATTCTCCCATTCTCCCCTCTCATCCTCACTCCCATTCTCACTCTCATTTTCCTCTATACTCTAGCACAAAAAATGAAAACTAAAAACTAAAATTGAAATGGTTTTCAAACAAACCCATGTAGTATTTTAATTTCTCTATCCCATGTGTTGAATGAAATCCCATTTTATTACAATAGGAAAATATCAAGGCTGCAGCTATATTTATCTACTCAAACTAATGCTCAGAAAACAATTATGAATCATAACCTACCTGAGCTGGAGCAAACTCCTAGCATTTTGATCTGAACTGAATTCAATTTGTCTGCATGGTTCTGATCTATAAGCAATCTTCTTGGTATATTTTTCCAGAGGTAACAAATAAGGTGTAGTGGTCATGATGGGGAAGAGGGGCACATGAATAACTAACTCATCACTGGATATGAGATATAGAAACAAAAGCTTTCAGAGACTTGATTGATGGGCAGGTGAAATATTGAGAGTAATAATATATCTCTGTATATGCGCATGAGTTAGAAATGCACGTGCCCTGCTTCTCCATCTTGCTCAACACACACCTTCAGTTTTCATATATGCCATAGCTAAGACTGTAGGAGCTAGAGCTAGAGCTCTACTCTCCTCACAAGAAGCTTAATCTAGAGAGAGAGAGAGAGAGAGAGAGAGAGAGGTAGAACAATGGTACTGAGGAAGAATGTGAGAAAGGGATCCTAAAACGGTGAGTTTGAGACACTCATCTGCACTTCGCTGTCCTGCTAGGCCACTCATTTATAACAAAACAGGCAAGTGAGGTGTGTTAAAGGTGGGCATGGAGAAATAAATTTTAATTTTTTCAAAAATAAAAATAAAAGATAAAAAAGAAACAGTGCTGCTGCAAGCTAGGTTTTAGTTGGGTGCGGGCCCCATGATGAGCTTGGAGTCCAAAGAACTTGTGACACTTGCAACAACAGGAGGACCACCCCCACCATATATCATGATCACTTAACCAATATCAGATACTACAATTTTAGTGTGGCATTAACAATTTGTCTAAATTATATTTATATGAGGCTGATGATACCCACCTGAACTTTATTTATCACCAGTGCATTTCCTTGGCAGTGCCCGGTACCGTAACTTTTCCTTTTGGCCCTGTGACAAATTTCTTAATGGGATGATCCCTACTGTCCATAAAACTTTCCATAATATTTATTTTTGTTTAATTAAAGAAAGATTTTGGAGTGTGTTTCTGTGTCTCAACTAGCTAAAATAAATATATCAGAGAAAAGCCCAAGTGAGAAAGTGTGTTTCTGTATCTCAACTAGCTCACTTCAGTCTTAATTGAATGAAACAGATGTTCAATTAGGAGAGAAACTATTATATTATTTTGAAGATCATGCATGTAGATATATATATTGGCTGGTTGCATTAATAACAGCAAATCTGCCTGCCACACTTATAAGGTTACACCATACCAGATCCATGAACAGTAGTTGTTGTTGCTGCACAATGTGTTGCATGTCACGGGGATAGCATTGTTCTACTATTTCGAACTAATTACGTTCCGTCATGCATGATAACAATTCTACAAAACATAACGTAATTAGATAGAAATAGCAAAACAGTGTTATCCCCTTGTGTTGAGTTCAAGCTTCAAGCTTCGCCGTAGAGAGGCTGCAGTGAGTGCATACATATCACATGCATCTTGCCTTTCATTCAACTACCACAGACAGGTCTACATCTGTCCCAATCTTGTATAGTCTTAATCAACTCCTCCAACTTCCAACACAAGCTATCTGATTAATTGTTCATCTGCTAATTAATTAGTTAGTTAGTTGAAGTACTGAAAATTAATTAGTGCTTAAACCCAGGAAGAATATTATGGAATTAGATAGAGGCATAGATAGTGAGAAATGGACATGAAATGTTACCATCCTCAGACCTACCCTACCATGGCCTTCACGAGGTTATTTGCAACAGCTAGTGCTGTTTTATTTTCAAGTCCGTCTCCCTGGGAGCTTGCTGCTTGCCACAGAACGTGCGTGTGTCTTATTCGTCTTCAACATCAATATTTGTATCTGTCTCAAATTCTGAGACAAATTCGCTTCCAATAGAACCAATACAAGATGCAGAACATGAAGATGGTAAGATCAGGATCCTCTGCTCAATCTGAATGGCCCTTTTTTATTTATGAAAATCTGAAGGAACCTTTTGATTTCTTTCTTGCTGTCAAATTAGGTCGAGAGTAATGTATAAAAACTTCATGATTGTACTTATTGTCGATTTTACTAGACCCACTTCAACTTCCCATCAAGTTTGCTCCGAAGTCTCTTTCCAAGTGCACTTCCCTATGCTAAGTCAGCTAGATGCTTCTCAAGTCTTAAAACAGACGGACAGAATTAATAGTTTTCTTCTTTTTTTCTGGGATTAAGCTACAAAATAATCCTTGGCTTAATAACTTCAAACCCTCCACACTGTTACAAAACTAGGCACTGCACTGCCCCATCTGCAGCTTTCTTTTTTTTTTCCCCTTCGTTTTCTGCTTAATTACCATACTCTTGCCATAACGTGGACCATACGTGTGGGGGTAAGGATTATGACTCTGCGAGAGAGAGAGATTCGTGAGTAGACATCCATGTTCACTTCACAGGATTGTGGAAATCTTGAGCAACCTATAAGAAAACGAACAAAACCAATACCCAATCTGTATACCAAAGCATGGTCCAAGTAAAAAGGCAATGCCTAAATAGGTAGATACAAAACTTATTCACATTTCTCTGCTTTTTCATTTCTAGCTAGCTAGCACCCAAATAATTGTTTGGTTTTACATAATTTTTTTGGGTGAGATTTCTTGTAGACCGTGATCAAGGAAAAGAGAAAAGTGGAAAAGATTAGATGAAGATGGGATATAGCACACATTGTGCCTCAACTATATCAAGTTTGAAAACGGATGGCGAAACACATGTAGATTATTGTTAGTCGTCGATGTATGTGTATAATGTA